AGGACTAACTCATTTAGGAGTGGCAGGGGAAACTCAATAGGACCAATTGAGAGAATAATATATTGAATCTGGTGGTTGAGTGGGCTGCTTGGGCATGGTGGAGGACTGCAGAGGTGAAGTGTGTGCTTCAGTGTCTGAAAACCCAAGTGTTGTTAAACAACATACACATGTGTACGTGAATACACACACACACACATACACACACATATTCCTCTCACTTCACAGCATAGTGTATGCGGGGTTCACTTGTTAGCTGTATATGATACTATTGCACTGTGCTTGAACTTGGCCGGTATGAACAGAGGATTGTCAGAACCAGAAGTAAAGATCCCCGCTGAAGAGATGAAAAGACGATGGAGGAGTATTTGATGTGAGAGAAGGAGCAGGGTTGGGAACAAAGCTAAAAGCGCACTTGATGTCTCGAAAACTCCCTGAAGTTTAAGTAAAACTGAAGCTGTGACTAAAAACCTTGTTAACTGAAAATGAAAGAAAAAAAAAACTAGTTGCTCATTTGAAACAGAATCATTATATAATCCATCTCACTGAATGTTGTAATGTTGTTTCCTCTGTAGCACAAAAGAGCAAGAAGAAAGAGCTCAACGTTTTAATAGCTGTTTAACTAAAGGTAGTGACCCTGCTAGTCAACAATGAGGTAAACATAACCTAATAACAAGTTAGCCATATAATGTTAAGTTAGCATTTTTAGCTAAGTTTTAGTAATGCTACCACCATAACTCTAAGGATGGCAGTGTTGGTCTGTACAGATATTTACGATGAGGTTTAGTTACTTTGGTGATCCTTACTTTTCGTCTAGTGCTACCGGTGGGTCACATTTTTCACTTATCCAATACATTTTTGTTATGTACTGTATATATACATGCTCAAAATCAGCATGTTAGCAATGTTATTGTGAGCACATTAGCATTGGTAATGTCAGCATTAATCTCAAAGCGCTGGTATCCTGAGCGCAGCTTCACAGAGCTGTAGGCAGGTTTGCTGTGGATGGTAACAGATGTGGGGCATTGAAATCTGATCGGGCGTTATTCTCACACATTCTGCTTTTGGTCAGATTTTCTGTCTGTGTGGTGTTCTGGTGAAATTAAAGTTTTGCTCAGAACTCCTAAAACACCTTGGAGTCCACTTCGGGAAGCACTGGCATTAGATGAGACTCTAGGTGGATGTGAGAAGCTAATGAAAGTGGGGGGCTCCAGGCAGCAGAGAGGTGAGTTGTGCCCGTGGCAGGATGCAGCAGCTTAGGGACTGTAATTACAGCATTATAGTGGAGGTTGACTGGATTAGGGCCAGAGCAACAGGCTGAGACCAGGATAGAAGGCCAGGAAATGGCCATGGACTAGACATTATTAGCCTTAGTTGACAGCTTAAGACCAGCTCTGTCAACACACTGCTTCTTCTCCTTCACCAAGCACTCAAGGTCAGAGAGATGCAGCTGCACAGGCAAAAACACATTTGCGCATGAGTCTGCACTTACCACAAATCCATATAAACACACACATGTGCATAAATACAGTTACATATACACTCACCCTCGTGCTACATTCACACATAGACAAATAAAAACATAACCTTAAACACACTGGAATGCTTAGTGAGTCCAGTCACTGAGCAGCTGATCTTGACTGGGCTCTGTGTAAATCACAGTGCTCTGCCCTCTCCCTCTGTCAACAGGATAATCCACTCTGAAAATGACTAGATTAAGACAGATTAAACACATGATGAGGTGATGAGAACTGGGGGTAAGAAAGGACTGAAATCTCACCACTGAAAGACTTAAAGGAACACATCCACTTTTGGACAAATAAGCTCCTTGATCAACTTGCTGTTGCCATTATTCAGGGATTAAATCGGCAGCAGTTTAAACACGGTGATACCATGAGTCAGTTTATTTTTCCCTGATTATTTTGTTGTTTTTTTTCCAGTTGCCACTTTTGCGGCTATTGATGCTGACGCTAACTACCAATTCCTCCTGAGTGTTTCATCACTTTATCTGATGCAAGAAACTGCTCTTGAGCATCAGAAGATTTTACCTTAGAAAATATTGGATAGGACTGAATAACAGGTGACAGCGAAGGTGCTCATTTCACATAAAAATGTCACAGCTTGTCATACAAACGCGCACCAGCCACTAAACATTCACAAGTCAGTGGGGGAGACTTTTCACTCTGCCATATTTGGCATAATGCATTTTACAATATTCTAACTGGCAGCAAATAAAAGGTTAAGGCCTCGGCTATAAATAAATACAGTTTAATGTACACAAATGTGCTATATGCAACCAATAGAAAATATTCAAAACATTTCATTCAGACTATAACCAGAAAACATGAATATTTAACAGAATATCAGCCCAATTTTTCACAAGGAATGTCTAATTACTTTTGGCATTGGCCATTCAAAATGATAGTAATAAACTTAAATAAACATTGTTTTAGATCTTCTTTAATCTCAGGCAGTGACTGTGGTTTTTAATCATCAATAGAATCAATGCATCGTCGAAATCATTGTGCCAACCAACCCCGCTCACAGTTGACCCAATTTTGTGATGAAATTCTGTTACTTAGCTACGATCACTTATCACAGACCTTGCATTACTACATTATAGCTGCACTGTATCGAAATGCAGCCGATTCCTGTCTATTAACTAGAAGTTGTTTTTTTTTTTACTGAAACTGAAATTTTTACCATCACCAAAACAAGTTGTCAGAGGCTTTCAGATGTTTCAACATGGTGAATGAATGCAGCTGATGAAAGCTAACTTTCTGATGTCACGTTTTTTGTTTCTGTGACCTTCAAAGGAACAGAAAAAAAAAGCTCTGTGCCAATCAACCCCTGTTGCCAACCAACTCCCGGTCTCACCTAAACATTGACAGTGTGCTAAAGCATTAGCATGCACACAAGCAGACTTAATTAATACTGGATACACAAAGATTAAATTGCTGCCATTTTGGCTCTGTGTTAAGTGGATTCCAAAGTCTATTTGCCATGGAAGACAATGAATATTTTTTTAAATAAGCCTGTTCACTTCTCAGAGATAGAGGAAGAGAGTGACATTAAGTGTCTCTCTGAGATCTATTCCACTTGACACTCCCTATACATAGTTTTCATATCATTTGGGTCTTAGCAGCCCTCTTTCTGATTCACTATGTCCACACATTTCCCTCCTTGTTAACTGAAAGCTCCCATCTTACTTCCTGTCAGCTCATGACCAGTCTCTGCCAGATCTGAAACGGATTAAAAAGTCCAGAGAGGAGATGTTGAGTGAGAGAGAAGTGAGTTAAATAAATCTTCATTTAGACAATATGAACCTTATTGAGCTCGAATCATCCAGGGACACGCTTTTTATTACAAGGCTGGCAGTGGCCTTGGCTCTGATTGTAATTGCGTTGACCCCCCCCCCTCCCCCATTTCACACACATACTCACACACACACACTCACGCACACACCAATACTGCTTCGTTCCCTCCTCGCCCCTCACTCTTATCAGCACTCTGTCCCGATAAAGTCCTGCGCTCTCAACCTCATTAAACCTCTCATTTATATTAAACAGCCCATAAGTCCCTCTGGCCTGATACGCGTCTCCCAGGACTCAGTACTCCCACGAGGAGGCGGCTTGAAAACACCCACACTGCACCGTGGCCTCAGCTCTCACATCCCCACAATTCTTCTTTTTTCTTATTCCTTCCATTTGTTTACCAGAAACTCTGCACCGTGGTCGTGGGGTGTTTCCTCTTCTTCTTCTTCTTCTCTCCTCGTCTTCCTCCCGCTCTCCTTTCTTCCGGCTGCTGCTGTTGTCTGATCTTTTACTCCCCTCTCTCTTGGCCGGGAGCCAGCAGAGTATTGTGAGACATCAATATTAGCCAGGGCCTCCTGGTTTAAAGCATGCTTGAGGTACAGAGTTGAACTGCGCAAGGCTATCTAGCTGTGAGGGAGTTATCTGTAATAGGTCCTGTACAGGGAGTTCTTCTTCAGTGCATTCCCCTGGCTGCCCACAGGCTGCTATGAAGCATTGTGGGAAATAAGGCCAAGGCTTGAGCTTTATTCTCTAACTCTCTGCACATGGGTTTGAGATTTTAACATTTTTTTTTCCCCCTCCACCTCCTGACTCTTTCTGTGGTTGCTCCATTGTCTCTTTCCTAAAAATATCACATTTGACAGACTATTGGTTTTTGAAGACTGGACACAGTATCTGGACCCAGTGGTCCCAAACGCAAAGACTTAACTGTTAACCATGTCCCCTGTCAAGACTGACACATGCACTGAGTGTACGGTGGGCTCAATAACCAGCAGTGCGGCACATCGACCACATGGCAAATGTCACTGGTCCATTTACTAGGGCTCATTGTTAGAGACAGCTGTCTATCGGCCTATGGGAAATCCATGGAGCTTTATCCAGCTCGCACTATTGAAGGAGCCGTTTCACACTGCTGAACCAGAAAATACCGGCATAAGCTGAGATGGATGCTGAAGCCCCAGTTCTGTGTGTATTGATGGCATCACATTAGGAGCAATAATAATATGCAGACACCATTTCTTCTTTTGTGTGTGAATTTGATTGTGTGTGTATAATTTACAATCTTACAGCAGCACAAAATGACTTTCTTTTGTCCAGTTCAAAATGTTTTCAGCATTTTTTTTTACCTCTAGATTCTGTTTTTTTTTTTGGCTCTTTTTCATGGCAGACACACTTGGGATCATTGATTATTTCAAAGGCACAACACACAAAGCAAGTGTCATCAAAACTGACTGGAACCTGTTATCAGTCTCAGTTTAATTCACAGGGATTTTAATACATAGAACTAACTATATATAAATTATTAATATTCTTGCTGTAAAATGTTTTTCTCGTGAACCAAAACTTTCAGTTTCAATGCAAACATATTTTATATGGTGAAACAATATTTTAAAACTATGAGACATTTCTTGGCACCAATCTCTAAGCCCCCCCCGTGTCTTCTCTTCATCTCTGTGTGGGTCTCTGCAGGAAGCCCCTGGCAGCCCTCCAGTTTTAGAGCATCCCATGAACTCTCTACTGGACAACCACGAGCGCCGGATCTCTCACTCTCTGTATGAAACCATTGAGGGCTTGGACAACATGTCGACACCACGGGCTAACGTGATTGGACGCATTGGTGAGTCAAATATTAAGAGGGTTGTCTCACTCCCTCTCTCAACACCTTTGTGTTTCTTTCCACTGCTACTCGACAAAATGACTCCACAAATTGGATTTTTCTTTGGCCAGTCACTCCAGGGACGTGTGGTTGACCTGCTAACCTCATGCTCACCGGATAGACACTCACCGAGCGCTTTAATAGGAACACCATACTAACACAGTAGGGCCTGCCTTTGTTCTCAGAGCAGCCTCAGCTCTTCGTAGCGTGGATTCCGCAAGATGTAGGAAACTTTCCAGTTCTGCTCGACATGATTGCGTCACCTCATTTGTGCAGCTGCACATTCATCCTGGAGATCTCCTGTTCTACTGCATCCCAAAGGCTGTTGCATTCAGATCCGCTGACGTGTTGTGTATTCTGAAATACCGCTCAAAACATTTGTAGAGAGTAGTTATCTGAGTTAGCGTAGCCTTTCCGTCAGTTTGAAACAGTCCTGGACATTCTCCTCTGACTCTCTCCCATCGACAAGGTGCTTCAGTCCACAGAGCAGCTGCTCACTGGATGCTTCTTGTTTTTGGCACCAAAAGCAAAAACACTCTAGACTGTTGTGTGTGAAAAATCCCAGGAGATCAGAGGTTTCAGAAAAACTCAAACCAGCCCGTCAAAGTCACTGAGATCACATTTTTTTCCCTTCATTCGGATGTTTGATGTGAACCTTAACTGTGTCTCCAGGATTGTATGCATTGCACTTCTGCCACATGGTTGGCTGATTTTGAAAATTGCATGAATGAACAGGTGCACAGGTGTTCCTAATAAAGTGCTTCGTGAGTGTATTTTCCACATGAATTTGCATAATTTGGCATTTGCTGATTAATTCTAACGCCCACCCCTCCCCCCCCTGTGAAGTCCCTCTGCTCCCTCTTTCCCTTACCCAGCCAGCATCACCTTCAAAGCCTCATCCCACCTCATTCGCCCCGCATCCCGAGCCATGCTATTTCCCTATTCAAACCTCTCAGGGATTAACGTCATCCCCAATCCTCCCCACCTTCACTCCACTCCCGACTGGCTTCACTCGGGTCAATTCCCATTCTACCAAGCTGACATCAGCAGGCTAAGATCTCAGCTCTTCAGGTGTATTAGAATTGGCAATTCAATCCTCAGCCGGTCGCTGCTGTCATCTCAACATCGACAGACCTTTCACATATGCATACACGAACAGAGGCTGAAGGTAATTGCATCAGTGTTGGGGGTGGTGGGGTGGGGGTGGGGGGTTGGGGTGGAGGGTTTATTGGGCTGATGAAGCTGTTAGTGGCTGGTATCCACGGCCTTTTTCTCAACACATACACATATTTTGTCTCCATCCTACCTTCTTTTTTTCTTTTCCTCTTTTTCTCTTTTTGACCGATTTGCCCATTTGTCCCTTTCAACATTTTTCACCCCTGTGATGAACCGTCTCCTCCTTGTCTTCAGTCTTTCTCCTCTTTCACCTCCCACCCCGTTGCCACTTCCACCTCCTGCACGGATGGAGTGAATTTGTAATCCGTCAATGATCCACACTTTGTCCCTTTCAACCCCTCTCCCATTCCCTCTCCTGTTTCTCTCCTATCCCCTCCCCACCATTCCCCCCAGAGTGGTGCCACTCTGCTACTGATCATAGAAGATCAGAGGCTGTGTCAGAGGCATCTGATGGTTAATTAAGCCTCCAGATCAATAGGGCCTGCCCCTGACACTCTCTCTCCCTCTGTCTCCCTGTCTCCCCTTCTCTTTTTTTGCTCTTTCATCATGTCTTACGCCGCCATCCCAAATCAAATGTTCTCAAATTGGTTGAGTTTTCCTCTCAGTTTGGCCTATTTATGCCACTTGCTTTTCCGATGCCGGCTTTTTAGAACGCTGCTGTGATCACAAGCGGCAACTGTGGGCTGATGGAAAAGTTTCTTGCCATTGAAACTTCAAGGGCGCCCAGTGCTCGTCTCATCCCGCAGATCGGGAGTCAAATGAGCCAAGTGGAAAAGTTTTAGGGGGTGGGGGCGGAGTGGGCGCTAAAAGCACTAAGTTATCGCAGCCGAAGCTCAGATCTTTCACTCGGATTGTCTCTCAGCAAGAAAATGTCAGTTCCTTTTCTTCTATGTCTTCAGGCTGTCTCTGAGTCGTGCCCTCATTAACCCGTACCTACATTTTGTGACAGGTCGTCATCTTTTTAAACTGACACAATTCTGTTATTAAAATTTCTCATGCAAGCAGAGATGAATTGACATTTGTTGCGGCAAAACAAAGCTGCCACACTGAGATAGAATTTAGCACCTGAGTAAAATAAATCCAGAAACATGTCTCTCAAGGACAGAAACTGTTGGCTTTTTTGGCAATTTCTGTTTGTCTGACCCTCATTCATCTTCAACCTTCTGAAGATGCAGAACTGTCGAAGATAAATTAGAAGAAGAACGTACTGTTGCTCTGTCCCCTAACAAGCAAGTGGCAATGACCTTGTTCACTGACAATACAGAGCTCCAGTAAGATCCAGTTAACCTTGATCATATGTCACAATTTTTTTTAACATTTCTAAATTTAACCAAAATGTCACTATACTACATTTACTAACTTTAATAATAACTATATAACTTTAAAAAAAAAAAAAAAGATCTTTTCACTTACTCTCCACTAGTGTTGATGGCAAATTTCTGCAGGCAGGCAGACGGACAGTAGCTGCTTCCACTCTCCATCTTCTTCTATATGTTATTTCAGATGGGCTCAGACATATTGCCCGGTGTGTGAGATGTGACAGTTGTGGTTAGAGGACAGATGCTGAGATCGGCCCCGCAAGGTCAGGAAGCACACAGCCGGCAGGGCTTGACTGGCAGCTCGATGTTGAGTGTATCTAGACCTGCTAAATTACTGAATCATGAAGGCCGGACGTGTGGAGTTGGGGATGTGCTCAGGACACATGCTGCAGTACATACACACAGGCACACTCACGTACGAACCTCTCCATCAGGTTATACACAATTCCCACTGATGTGAGCCATGCATTTTTCCTCTGAGCAAATAGTGTTTCCTTACAAAACTCTGAGGCATTTTACCTCTTAAAAGACAGAGGAGGAAGTCTAACCAAATCAGCCCCTTCTCCCCTGCTGCTGTGCTGCATTATATGCTGCCTGTGCTGCTACAAATGGACCACGACACAAGAGGTAAATGGGATGGAATGGTTTCCCTGCTCAAGAATTAAGACCTGACATTGCTTGTGAGTTATTGCAGATGTCAGCAAGCCAATATGATGAAATTGTAAACTCCATATTTCTGCCAACCTCATGATTGTTATTTCTACGCTCTCTATTTTCTGTTTAAAAAAAAAAAAAAAGCTAATAGCTGCCACGTCCTATGGTTGCCTTATCTCACCTTACCCAGGTATTGATCGGTATGGACCCGGTCTCGTCTACTCCCAGCAGTCACAGGTAGCTCACTGCCTCTCTTCTGTAGCAGTAGGAATAGGCCTAGGACTTGGTTCTTACACTTGAATGAAAAAATAGAAATTATAATTACCATGGCAACAGCGAAGAAAAGCTGAAAATAACACAGGAGACAGGTGCTATTATGCTGGTATAGTGCCGTCACATTGATTGTAAGGGCACTTTGCCGTGCTCTTCCCTGTAGTGTTTTGAGCTGTCATTCAGAACTATCTGGTGTGTGTGTGTGTGTGTGTTTGTGTGTGTGAGAGTGAGTGTGTGTGTGTGAGTGTGTGTTTGTATATTTGTGAGCGCACACATTCAGCTAATCAATAGTCAAGAGGTAATTCCATTCCCCGTTTGCTTCAGTAAGCCATGAAATGCTGTGATATTGTCAGCTTTAGCTTCACACATGCACACACTATGAGTTGTAGCATCATAGCCAGGGGTTGAATACACAGCTAGGAGGTGGTGAACATGAGGTACGCTCTGCTTGTCTCCCTGCCCAAATGAAACGAGCTCCTGACACTTTTTTCCCCCTTTATTCTCCTGTTTTCCTTCCATTGTCACCCTCCTTTTGCCCTTCTTGCGATGAAAGGATAGAGAATTGGCAAGAAGGAAAAGAAAAAAAAAAGAAAGTAAGAAAGTGAATATGGAACTGAGTGAAATATCCTGCGTGTGCACAGTGTGTGAGCGACAGCCGAGGTTTGACACAAAGGTCGTTAGCATCACACCCGGCTTCGCCTTCCGTTCTGTCTAATTGAAAAGTGCCACTGGGTGCGGGTCTACACGCTGGGGTGAAAATTGAGGCCCGTGGACTGTCTTTGGATGGAAGTGTTTGGTCGAGTGCCTGGCTCAGAATGCACACCCAGGACTGGCACAGGAGCGAGTGAGGGAGGGGTGGGATGGGATGGGAGGCTGGATGTGGGAACCAGCCAAGCAGACTCACGCTGTTGTCACACAGGAAAGTAGATGTTCACACAATACAATGTATGCAGCGCAGGAATCCTGTTGACACACATTAACCCTGATACAAAGTTAGTCAACTATAGAAGTACGAGCTCTCTCACTTTGGATCATTTCATCATTATAAGGGAACTTTTTTTTTTTTAAAGGATGAAAGGAGAAGAGAAAACACACACATAGCCACTGCAACCTCTGGGTGTCCTCAGACACTCTACTCTTCCCTAATGGTGTTTAAGTGGGGCTGTCTTCCCAGGACTTGACCCCGGTGTCTCCTCACCTCCAGTATTTCACTGTCTGCAGACTCATCCTCTCTGTGTGCTCAGCCATCAGTGCAGGAGATTAGGCAGAGAGTGACCGCCCTTAACTTTGTATCCAGACTGCTTCAGAGTGCTATTAGCATGCCTCAGTGAGAAAGCAACAGACACATGAACGGTGTTACCCAGGAACTTTCCCTCCTCCTGTGTTTCCCTGTGCTCATACATAGTGGTCCTTTGTGTGAAAAGAGGGTGTAGCTGCGATAGTCTAGGCTGTGTGGGCATGTACTGACTGTGACTGTTAACTGACACATCACTGACTCTCTACTCTCTACTTTTGATACACTTGTTTGAGTGGGAGTTT